GAATATTCCCTGGCGCATAGAGTTCGCACGCGTTCCATACCGGTGGACTCGTTGAAGTGTATTCGCGAAATCGGCGTGATGTTGAGTGCATGAAATTTCTCTCTGATCGATCTGTACAGTTTGTTCCCACGACCGCGATGTTCGCACATCGTTTCCGGCATCAGTATCTTAAAAATATAATAAAAGAAGAAATTGCATTTGACGAGGATAAAACTCCTATGAAATATTCTTCTATACTTCTTCTATTGGATTAATGATCCCTTTAATTCATTTAATTTATTTATTTTCTATTTTAAAAAAGCTTTATCCAAATGTGTTCACTTCTATCGGGTCGACAACGTTGATTTTCGTCAGAGTATTCACATATGTTTGACAATCGCTGATCTGACAGAGAATCAAGTACGGGTATTGAAGATCTATCGCTGCCAAACCGACTTCGTTCCTGGCATCTCCTCGGCCGGCAGTTAATGCTATGATGAATAAGGCAGAGTAAATTATTTGCATTATTTATCATTTTACATTCACTCACCAATCACTACGCAGGATTCCGCGTTACTGGACGTGCCGAATGGCGTCGTAGCCGATTTTGTTGTAGGATTAATCGAGCTAATAGATATCGAGACATTATATTTTGTAATGAAAAATATCAGGAAAATAGGATTATACAAGGTGATTTTATAAACTGGACATTTCTCGGATAATTGAATTATGTGAGCAAAAATGAAAGAAAAATAATGTTATTTTTTTATAGATACAAGGATGACTTTGTAGAAAAAGATATGTAATTTTTTTTAATGAGAAATATAACTTTTTTACGTAAATCGATTTATTTTTCTATACTAGGCACTTGGAAAATTTATGTTAAATTTAACTCATTTTATGTGTCCTAAATTATTTAAATAACATAATCACATTAAATTAACATTCGAATACGTTAAAAAAATTTAAACAAAATGTTAGGACTTGAATGGACTATTTCTAACACAAATACGAAATATTTTTACTGTGTGAGAATATAAAAATGAAATTATCTCTAAAAGCCAATAATTAATAGAAAAAAGTTTTGTTTTAATATGTCGATTGACAAATCCATTATAATGTATATCTGTTATTATAATTATATTATAATTTTTTCTATTCTTCAATTATAACATAAAATAATCTAAAAATATCAAGATAAAAATATCATAATATTTGTCATTGTTTTATTTTATTAAAATAAAACACTTTCTTCTTTCTTTTCTTAATAATTATTAGTTTAGATAATTATTTATCTTCAATCATATTGTGCGTGTATAAGAATATCAAGAAGTTAAAAATCAATCGTCAAGAGAAAAAAAATATTTGTTTTGACACTTTTTTTGACAAATATTGTAGAAGCAGCTTCCTGTAAAAAGAGACTTATAGGCATGAGATTTATAGCTCACCCTACACTACGGCGAGAAGTGGTCGGCAAATAGGACGATGTAGAGACGTAATTTTCTCTGTGATTATGCCTTGGCGTCTTTGCATTGGAATTTGCGGGTCCATAATTTGCCAGTGGTCTCAGAAAACTCGAATCGAATTCTACGTCCGTAGAAATCATCCATGAAAAACCGAAACTCCATTTCGAACAGCGAAATGGAGAACGTAGCCAGATTAAAAGTTGAAAATATATTGATATTTAAAAACTGATGAAAAATTGTGATAAATATCACAGACGCAAACTGTAATCGACCTCAATCAATTGACCTTTAGAAATGAAGCATAATATGGATTCGCGTAACGATAATCGTTAGGAACTTTGTTGAAATTTTATCTTAATTGAATTACACTTTGTCTTAATTGAACTGGAAAATGTATATGAATTTACGAAAAAAATATTAAGCATCAAAATCTGCTTGATTGAATAAAACCTTTTTCATTTATTTATATTAATTAAATTAATTCAAAGGAGTATTAATTCAATTAAAGTATTCTCGCTTTTAATACCATTTTATAATCACTTTTAGGAATTTTTTTTTAATATAACAGCCATAAATTTGAAATTGGTTTCATTTATTCTTCGATATTTGAATGTTCTTTACAAATTTCTTTAAACATTACAAACAATTTTCTTGGTATTTATTAACAAATTTATATGGGCATGTAAAAAATATTCAAATATCGAAGAATGAATGTAACAATAAATTTCAAATTTATGATTGTTATATTTAAAAAAAAATTTCCTAAAAAAAAGTGGTTATAAAATAATACTAAAAGCGAGAAGAATACTCTCTTAATTTTTCTGAATGTAAATCGGTATATCATGAAAATGAGATGTACATTAAGTTTTTAGTGATATGGTGCCACTTACGATATTTCGGAAAGATGTTCGTGGCGCGTTGCGCATTCGATATTGAAACGATTCTGCCTCTCGTATAAGCGCGCCGTCCTCTCGGCGGAGCGGCCTGTATCACATTCATTTTGTTCAGCGAGGAGGCGAACTGGTTGTATATGTATATATCTTAAAGATCTTGCAGCTTGCCGTGTAAATTTTAATAAATCTGTTTTATGCAATAGTACAGTATTAAACTCAAAGATCGAAAAAATTCAGCTACAAAGAACAACACTCTTTTGTCACTTATTCTTTCGAGAATCGCCTGAATTTATCTTCTCATAATCATGTGATAAATATAGCCAATCAAATCCTTCGAAATATCGCTTGAAGTTTAACCTGGTTTAACCTATAACACCATGTTATTTATTTGAATTCTTATGTGTATCTATATTCATATATATATATAT